ACACACACACACACACACACACACACACACACACACACACACACACACACACACAAAATAACAACTCCACCAGTTCTCAGCAAAATAGTTCTGGCCTTCCACCCCCTTGCAGAAATTTCCAGATTTAAGACACTGGATTAGGCCGTCATTGTCTTTCAAGGGCTCGCCTCCCTGCACTGACAAATGGACACTTGACTACATACAGGCCACATATTTCAAGACGTATTTCCCAGCTATTGCTATTTTTAAAACACAACTAAAGCCAGACCAAACCACAGCAAAGAAAATCCTAAGGATCTGTTTACTGGAAATATCTACAAAGGTTTGCAATGTCGGCAGCGAAGTGCAAACAGAGCTGGCTCTGGTGAGAACTTCAGTTATGAAATAAAAAAAAGAAAATCCTAAGCAGTTCTTCACACCAGTTTTCCAGAAAACCCCACCAAAGGTGTATTTCCCCTTCAACTTCTAACTTTACCAGGCTGTCAGGAAGCAAACCACCTGCTCTTTTCTAGATGGATCCAGAGAAAGGTCTGGTCTTAAACAAAGAGCCTCCCCTCTCCACACTCCCCTCTCCCACCGCCATCCCCACTCCCACCCACCACCTCAGTGACGGGTTGCTGAGCCAGGATCACTCACCCTGAAGACAGACAGAAAGGACCAGCCTTCGAAGAGAGTTAGGATTCGCCTCTGAGCACGTCGCTGCCAGGTGGAGGACTCCGGGCTCCCAGACACCCAGCTGTGACACCTCCCGCTGCGAAGGCACCAACCTCCCCCCACTCCCCGCCCCTCCCAGCCCCCTGAACAACCAGCTGAGAACCAGAAAGAAAAGCCTGCTCTGCCCAGGGCCGAGGAGAGACACAAGGCGGCCGCTTGGGCGGGAATTCCTCCCAGGAAAACACGCAGGGTCCATGTCACTACCCAGAGGGCCAGATCTGGGGATTTTGAGCCTTCCTCCAGGGATGAGGGGCTGTGGGCTGGGGAAGACCACCCGACCCAGTCCCGGGTGGGGCTCGGACAGACCCTCCACTCAGCCACTAGCGGGCGCCTCTCCTTTTTCAATGCTTTTAATGCTTTTCAGATGGTGAGAGGCTGTGCTGGTGGCCGAGAGCACCCCACACCCCTTCCTTCAGGAGACACTTGAAAGGGACCACGCTCCCCCCTTGAAGCCCCATCTCAAGCGGTAGAATGTCCTCTCCAGTTTGGTCCTGCCTCCGGCCCCAGAGTCTCCCCCAAGCCCTGGGGAAGGGGCGCCTCTGGCCTCTCCTAGGAGCTGACGATGTGGCCGGACCAGGTCTCGTGCTTGGTGCCCGGCGCCAGGTGGGTGATGACCACCTCCACGGCCTGCAGCTTCTCGTTCTTGGGCGGGATGGAGCACATCTTATAGGTGACCTCATCGCCTTCCACGGGGACGTACTCCCCCTCCACGCTGTGGGGTGGGGAGAGAGCACTCAGGGCCGGCACTCAGAGAAGCCAGGACACCAGCCCTCGCAGAGGAACTGCCGCCCTGCCCTGCCACCAGGGGGCACCACCATGGCCCTCTGGTCGTGGCTAAGGAGCCCCACACCCAATCAGCTCCTTCCCTGGGACCTCGGTTGCTGAGACAGAGATGGAGCCCCACCCCCTGGGGATGCTCACATGGCATGTTAAATGAGGGCACCGAGGGCCTGATGGAGGGAACAGCGGGGAAAGGCAGTCTGAGCCCGAGTTGGGGGATGGCCTGGGTGAGGGTTTCCTGAGCAGCACCCCGACCCCCTGACCCATCCAGGAGTCCCAGAAACCAGGCTACACCTCTGCTGTTCAACTCCTCAGAACCCCAGTGAGCTTTCCAGAAAGTCCGTTTCCCTTACTTTCTATGGGACATGAGTCACCATCTCACCCGTGATAGGGAGTTGCCCAGCTTGATGTCCCCTTGATGAGACCCCAGGAGGAAAATCCCCTTCAGATCCTGAGCACCAAGACCAGCCAGCTCCCCCGGAACTGGTTTGCCTTGACTGAAGAATAACATCGCAGATGGTGCTGCCCTCTTTGATTTGGCCACCAGGAAGCTCAGGAATAAACATGTAGCCCACTTCTAGCAGTGGAACTAGGCATCACAGTATCCCCATCTTTCTTATCTGCCCCCCAACCCCATGCTTTCCTTTCTAATTTTTTTGGTGCACTGTGTGTATCCTTGTCAACCACTACAAATCCTTTCTGGAAAGAGGCAATGTGGAGATACATGTCTACATCCACGTATGATTCATACATACGTGGAAGGCACTGCTCTAGCGTCATCCTCGTGTCTACGCTGTACGGGGGGTCTACTGAAGACCTGGCGTGTAAGAATGTTGGGGGAGGGTCAGAAGGGATAACTCTCCCATCCCAGCAGATGTGCAACAGGATCCTAATTTCAAAAACATGGTTTCTAGGTAGACAAGGTCTGCTGTGTGGGGTAAGGACTTTGCCTGCCACAGTCGGAAAGACTGGGGAGCTGCCGCTGAGGTCAAGGGTTGGGGTGCGGGTCCGGGTGCCAATCGGATCCCCACAGATCTGCAGGCTGCTTAGAAGATCAGAAGTGAAGCACAGGCTGCTGGACGCCTTCCAGCCCCAAGACCAAGGACGTGTGGGCTCCACCCTGGGTCCCCCCCACTGTCCGCCCCAGGGTTTCCAGACACTCAGGAAGGAAGGACGTCAGTGAGCAAGTGGCAGGAGAAAGGGTCCAGCCCCAAACTTCCTTCCTGGAACAGAGCGCAGGCAGCCCCCCGCCTCACCAGGCTGCTTCCCCCGAGGAAGTGCAGGAGCCCAGCCGCCAGGTGAAACACAGCTCCCCAGACTCACAGGGACCCCCCTCCCCACCCACCAGACCCACACGGGCACTCAGACCCACCCCAAGCAGATCTCAACTCACACGCGCACACGCAGTCGCCTGCAGCCTGACACACTGCCACCACCACCACGGGCTCACGACCCCACCGCTGAACACTGTCGCACACAGATCACAAGCAGCGTCACACACACCTGGCTGCACAACCATCATCATAGCCGGCGCCCAGGAGAGTCACACGCTCTCCCTGCCTCCTCGAGGCCACGGCAGCACCCACCCCAGACACAGCCCACCCAGACTGGCCGCTGACTTACTCGGAGATGTGCAGGAAGATGTCAGGGCCGCCGTCGGCCGGGGTAATGAAGCCGTGGCCCTTGGACCGACAGAAGCATTTGCAGACTCCTTTGTAGACAGGGCCCTGTGAAGCCCGCACCGTCCTGCCAGAGAGAGGAGAAAGCGTGAGTGGCCCCCGCCAGCCCTCCAGAACAGCCCCCGGCTTCCCGGGCACACCCAGCTCATCCCAGTGCCCACGCATGCTGTGCCCCAGGGAGTCCTGGCCAGGGCCACCACGCACAGCTGTGCAGGCTGTGCACTGCACGACTCTGGGAGCCATTCACAGAGACCCTGGTGACAATGACTCTCTGAATGACGCTGGCAGAGTTTTCTCAGGCCTCAGTTTCCCCCTCTGACTAAAAGCTCTCTGCGCATCCCTCCCTCCGAAGGTTATTAGCAGCAGCAGCTAGCAGCAGCCTCCACTCGTTGGCCTGAGCTCTGCATCTCCCAGGCACCGTGTGGGTCCCCTGTGGCACCGTGGCCACCCTGCTACTGTCCCCCTTTTGCAGCCATGAAGTCAAGGGCTCACAGGGGAAGAGGCCTGTGTGTCGTTAAAGCCTGATGATTTAAGACCCCAGCGGTTTCCCACCCCTGGCCATCGCCAATCCTTGCCCCCAGCTCGTGACAGCCTCAAGTGGGCCTGGAGCAGCGCCGTACAGTTTACGAGGCGCCTGCCCAGTTTCTCACCATCAGCCCTTTCCCAGCCCCGAGTCTCCCATCTGACAGGGACATGAGGCTCTCTGGACCCCGCAGGCGACCTATCTCAGGAAGCCTGACACTCACGCTGAAAAGGTCCTTGTCCGGCGAGTGGGCAGTGGGCTCGGGACCACGTTGCCCCGAAGCGGGGATGGTGAGCGGTCTCGGGCCTGTTGGGTATCCAGCAGCCCGGCCGAGGACTGGTGGGTGGGGTGCTGTGATGGGGGAGGAGGCTCAGATGACATGGCCGACCTGGAGAGGGACAGGGGCTCTCAGGGGCTCACGCCTTGCAAGGAGGGGCCCCCCCGGATGCCTCCCCACCCCCGCGTCTGCCATCTGAGACTCATTCTTCTGGCTGTGGAATGCAGGCTCAAGGCTCACTCAGCATGGAGGTCACCTGCTGCAGAAACACGTCCGGCTCACTGCAGCCGGGCAGGCGCCTGGTCTGGGCTCCTGCAGCTGCCGTGGGCCTCCCGCTATCATTGCTCTGTACGGAAATGCCAGGTCGCATCACTGACAAGGACACCATTGGCCCCCTCTATGTTCCCAGTGCCCAGCACAGACCCTGGCACATGCCAGGCCAGGCGTGGTAAATCCTTGTGGAAGGAAGGAAAGGAGGGAGGGCGAGAGCAGGGAGGCAGGCAGGCAGGGTGGGTGGGGATGCTTCAATGCCAACCACCTAGATGAGGACTCCAGCCACTCATCAGACATTTCCTGGCCCCAGCTAAGTGCCGGACACTGTGGGGAAGGCAGAGGCAAAAAAGGGACCAACACTCAAGTGTTCCTCCAGGAAACTCCGGGACACAAACCAAAGAAGGCTCAGACCCTAAGTCAGGCCTGCATCCAGGAGAGGGAAGCCCGGCAGGTAAGTGTGTGGGACCCTGAGGGGCAGGGGCATTTCAAAGGCAGCATCTCCACCAGGCCCCTTACTCAGATCCAGGCCTTAAAGTTAATTTCCACACAGCCTGAGTCTCCAATTGCTGCTAAGAAATCGAATTCCCTCCGTGACCCCTAACATGCATCAGAGGCTGGGGGCAGACCCAGCTGGAGGGGCTGGAGGGAGCAGACTCCATAGTCCCTGCCTCGCTCTGGCAACTGTGTCAAGAGCAGCACGTGGCCGCTGTACCCAACACACTGGCGGCCTTGCCTCAAGGCCACAAGGAAAGAGCAAAGCCCAGGAGCCAAAGGACCTTGGCTGAGTCCTTTCCCCTCTCTGGGATCAATTTTCCCACCTGCACAGTGGGGCAGCTGGGTGGGCATCACTCAGCACCTGCTCAGGGAGGGGGATGGGGACTCAAGGTGGAGCAGAGCGGGGCCCTGTGGCCCCAGGACAGTGGAGGAGGCCGACTCGGACATCACCCCTGTTCACAGGGCAGCCCTGCTGGGTTCTGTGTGGTTCACGTGGGGTTTTCAAATTTAAAATATGAGCTATCTTTTAAACATCCCAGGACTTTGCTCCAAAATCTAGGTTTCCAACTAGTTTGAAAAAACTAGCAGCTTTGACAGCCTGGAGCCTCCAGTCCACCAGCCCTGCCCCACGCGTGCCTGGTCTATAGCAATTACGCAGCCCCAGGGCACCAGTTTTCAACCTGCATCCTCCAGGGAAAGGGCCACCTCCTTCCCCCAAAGGACGAAACCTCTCCCTTCATTGTCCCCACAGTCCCCCGCAGACCCCCCCACTCCCCTTTCAGGACTCGCTCCCTCTGGCTGGGATGGGAGAGGGCCGCCTGGCTTCCCGGGGGAAGTGACATAGCTACCTCCTGACCCTTCTCTCAGCCGCAGCCGCAGCCAGCCCAGAAAGGCCCCGGCTCCTTGGCCCGGGCTCCAGCATGACCCACCAGTACAGGTCATAGAGTCCTAGAATGTTCAATGCCTGGGGTTCTGGGAAGGGGGCCAGCCCAGAGAAGGGAAAGCCCCACGCAGGACAGCAGGTGGGACCACTGCGTCCTGGTGACACCAGGGTGAGGCAGGGAAGTGCCCTCCCCCGCATCCACAATCTCCCTCTTTCCCCTGATGTCAGGCACATCTGACTTCAAATCCCACCCTGCCGGCTGTGTGATCTTGGGCAAGTTACTTAACCTCTCTGGACCTTGGTTTCTGCATGAGGAAAATGGGGATTTTAATAGTTCTGACTTCACACCATTGTCATGAAGTTGAAATGAAACAATACATGTTAGGCACTCTGCATACCCTCCACCCAGAACAAATGAGCATTAAGTGTCAACTACGATTGTTGTTATAACTGTCATCATAAAGTCATTCAACAAATATGTGCCCGGTGTCAGGCCCTGTTCATGGCACTAGAGACACGGCTGAATTTGGAGCCAGAGAAGAAACAGGTCAATAAATATATAAACAAAATCATTACAGGTGGTTCCCTGGTGGCCTAGTGGTTAGGATTCCAGGCTTTCATTGCCATGGTCCAGGTTCAATCCCTAGTAGGGGAACTGAGATCCCACAAGCTGCGTGGTGTGGCCAAAATATAAATAACCATTACAGACTGCTGAAAGGGCTGATAAGAAATACATAGAGGGACATAAAAAGTAGCAGGGTTGGGGTGCCACTCTAATGAGGGTGCAGGCTGGGTCCCAGACAGTAAGAAAGAGTGGACCATTTACAAAACAGAGGGAGGCTCTTCCAGGTGTGGGAAACAGCCTGTGCAAAGGCTCTGAGGTTGGCAAGGGCAGGTGTGACTGGAGGCCAGCAAGGAGACTGGGGGCGGGGGGGTGGCCGGGGCACTGGGGAAGGAGGGTGAGAGGTGAGAGGCAGGTTGGGTTGGAGGGCATCACCATCATCCCCATGTGTCTTCATTCTTCACATCCATGTCTGTCTGACTGTCCCCATGTCCCCTGCCAGGGCTACCTCCCCCTAGGTTAATGAAGCAGGCCCAAACTGGGACCCCCCTTCTCTCTCCACCCCAGCCCCCTTGACTCCCCTAGTATACCCAGTCCAGCAGAGATGCTAATGGAAGCCCACCCTCTTGAGCGAGGAGCAACCTGAAGGCAGCATGGAGTCCCTCCACATCCTAGGGCCTGGCACTGGGGCTGGGACAGAGCAGGGTCTTAACCAGCATTAGGACCCGAAGCCCCCGCTGGAGTTCATGTGTACTTGTGTGCTCGGTGCCTTGCACAGTCGAGCAGCAGCAGGGGGCTCCACGCATGCGTACCTGGCAGTGGGAGAAACTGAGGCATGGGGGACACCAGAGCCTCCCGGACTGGGAACGGGAAGGTAAGTGCCGGCCTGGGAGACTCAGGATCCTTAACCACCACCCTGCCCACCTCCCCTGGGCCATCAGAGCTGAAAGCAGCTGGGGCAGCTGGAGCAGGCCTGGACAAGAGCCAGCCCGCCCCCAGGGGCCTGCGTGGGGACGGGGAGCGGCATGGGGGAGGGGGCAGGGAGAAGGAGTGCATGGCCTCTGTGTGGGGAGGCCTGGATTAAAGTCCAGCTGTAAGGAAAACAGCTGGGGGAGGGGGGAGCCAGTAGCCCAGGAGCCAGCTCTGGGGCCCACTGCTGCCCTCCAACACACAGATGGGGGGTGTGCAGCAGTCACCCCCCCACCCTCATCCCCACCCACCGGTGCTTCCAACCAGCAACTGCTCTCCCAGCAACACCAGGGGAGCCTTGGAACTGACCCTGGAGGAGGCAGGGCCCACCCGCTGCCACTAGCCCCCCTCCTGGACGCCCTCAACTCCCTACAGCTGCAGGGCATTTGCAAACAGGCAACTGAGGCTCAGTCTGCTAGGAGGCTCTAGGCCAGACCTGGGACGGGCCTCAGGGCTGCAGCAAACTCAGACGGAATGTCACGCCCAAGGCATGCCACGGCTGCTGAGCTGTGTGCACACACCTGTGTGTGTGCGTGTGCGTGAATGCGTATGGCGGTGTGTGCACAGGATTGTAATGGGCGTATTTGGCTCTGCTCACATGTGTGGTGTATGTGCGCACGTGTGTGTCTGAAGCCAGGCGCACACGTGGATGCACACCTGTCACTGCCTGTGTGTGCACATCAGTGGATGGGGCGAGGCCACCCCACCCCGGGCACCAGCAGGGCCTTTACCCTGGGAAAGGGTAGGAAGGGGGCCTCAGCCCAAAATAGCCTGGGAATTTTCCACAGGCCCTGCATGTCCTCCTGGAAGGTTCAGAGAGTTCAGCTGGGCACCAGGCTCTGGTCTTCCTGACCCCTCTTCCACCCACCCACATATCAAGGGACCGGAGACCCAATCCTGCAGAGCTCCTGCTAACCCCCTCCCCTCCTCTCAGCCTCAAACCCCACCAGTCCCACCAATCGTATCAAGGACAAGTCTGTCTTGAGCCAAGTAGCCAGTTGCTGACTCCAGGGAGGGGATCCTTGGCAGTGCTATCCATCATTTACACTTTAGTGAGAAGGAGTTTGCAGTTCATTCCACAAGGCTGCATTGTTGGTAGCTTTCAGACGCTTGAGGGCAGGGAGATGGAGGGGAAGAGCTGAGTTCAAGCTGGGAGCTTCATTCTCAGCATGGTTCTCAGCAAAGCCAGATCTCTCCAAGCCTACTCTGAAAAATGGGGTGTCGAGCCTTCCATGGGTTTCTGGATGGGGGAGGCCAGGGCTGGGCACCATGTTCAGACACCTCCCAGGTGTCTGGCAGGTGGCGATGACTACTAGCCCGCGTGAAGGGAACAGGACAGGACACTGGAGAAAGTCGGTGCTAAAATGGAGATGCTGAAGATGGGGGCGGAGCCCAGATTCTGCATTTCTAAGGAGCTCCCCCCAGCAAGGTAGATGCTGGTCAACCGACAGAGTAGCACACACACAAGAGTAGTGCGGGTTACCGGGTTATCGGCCTTGCCCACCTCTCAACCAGCATAAGAGGGTGGAAGGGAAATTTTGGGGGGGGGGGCTCTAGATGAGTCACAAAGTCACCTTAGTACACCCAGGTTCCTCGTCTGTAAGCTGAGGCAGCAGAGACGCCTCCCTTCCCTTCTCAGCCTCCAGCCCAGCTAAGCCCCAGCCCCGCAGAACCAAGGGCACGTGGGCCGAGGGGCTGGGTGAGCCAGCGGAGGCTGGACAGTGGGGTCCCAGGAAGCAGGAGAGGCCCATGAGGAGCCCGAGGCGGGCTTGGGCCACATTCCCCTCCATTGTTCGGGGGAGAGTGGGGCTCAGGCGGGGGAGGCGGGGAATAGAGCGAGGATAGAGGGGAGGGAGAAAGGGGGAAAGGAAGGGGGCGGGGACTCAAGGGGCGGGGATTCAGAGAGCGCCAAGGCCAAGGGGTGGGGCGGGAGTCGGGGGGGGAGGGAGCGGAGTTGGGGTAACTGGGGAATTAAGTGGAGGGGGCGCAAGGGCGGGGCGGCCTGGCTGGAGCCTGCAGCGCCAGCAGCAGGAAGAAATACGAACTCGGCGCGGAGGGTGCAGCCCGCGATGCCCGCGTCCGGGGAGGGGGAGCAAGCCCAGCCGGGAACTGCTCGGCCGCCCCAGAGTGCTGGGAAGAGGCCAGAAACCCGAGGGCCATTGACCAGGAAGAAGAGGCGCCCCTCCAGCACTGCCCCCCGTTAGCGCTCCCGAACACGCCCGCCCCGCCCAGGACCCTGCGCCCGCCGGCTCCCAGCCTGGGCAGCCCTCCTGGGAGGAGCCCAAGCCCTTGTTCGTAACTAGGGGCCTACTCCGCACCCCATCACCCCCACTTCCAGCCCTCCTGTATTCCATTCTCGCCTCCATTCTCCCAGGGCTTCGGTCAGACCTGAGTCTCAGGCCTAACTCTGCACTCCACTCCCTCTGTGACCCCTGGCAAGCGACCTCATCGCTCCCTGCCTCAGTTTGCCCATCTGTCAAATGGGACAGTCCTGGTGCAGCCTCCCAGCCCGGCGGACGTCGTGCGGAGGATGTTGTGCAGGGGGTACCAGATACAAAGGCTCGGAAACAATGGTGGAGCCGCTAACGATAGAACTGTCAGGCCTGGGGCCATCTAGAATAATCCCTCCCATTCCTGTCCCTGCTGATGGGACACAACCAAATGCCCTGACTTTGCCACTCGGTGAGACAAAGACCCACCCTCGTCCCCGCCCAGGACCCAGAGCCCGGCGCTGGGCCTGGCTCAGCTCTTTGCGAGCATCTACTCCGGGCTGGGCTGGGCGGCGCTACAGGCCCCAGTTCCGGCTCTGCTGGGGCTCCTGCGCCAGCTGGGGGCGGGGGTGGGGGGGAGGGAGTGACAAACATGGCAGCTTTGAGAAGCGCGGTCATCAAGTCCGCCCGGGGAAGGCGAGCACAGAGGGGGCTTGGAGGAGGGCCCTGACCCCGAGGAGGCAGCGGCTGCTTCGAGTCCTAAAGGCGGAATGGGGAAGTTTTTCCTGGGACCTGCAGGGGCAAAGGCCCAGGGCGAGGGAGGACGGGCGGCAGAAAGAGGCTGGGAGGGTCTCGGGGGAAGATAATAGAAAGCTCTGTTGAAAAGTTTGAGACTTGACCGACAATGGGGGGCATCAGTGGACGATTTTAAGCCGGGGGTTGATCAGAACCTGTTTTTACAAGTCCTCCCTGGGTTCAGGGTGGCGAACGCATTGGAGGGGCAAGACTCCTCCAATGAGGGAGTGAAGA